GGGTTTTTAAATTCCAATTGATGGTACATCCATGATGCCATTACTGAGACTAGTTTTATTTTGTAGACCCATTAATCAATTTAAATTCCACCAGCTGCCACAGTGGGATTCGAACCTGTCTTCGCACTTGTTCCCTGCGTTACTAGTCCAATGAAATCTCTTGCATAACTCTTTCTCTTCTCTTCTCTTCTTCATCTTTTATCTACCCCCAACCATCACCACCCATGAGTTACGATATGGAGAACTCTATATGCTGACTCTGGTATTGCTGGTCCATGTTTAATTGAAAACTGATTTTTTTTTTAGTTAATCAGAAAGGAAGTACATATCAAACTTAATGAATGATGTAGTTATACTACTGTTAAACTAGTTTGTTTCTTTTACTGTTTTTACTTTTTTAAAAAGTGAAATTGTGTGTGCCATAGTTTGTTTATTATTGGATGTTTGGATTTCTCTTTAAATGTTAATGATCCCTAACAGGATCAGTAAAACTTTTGGAATTATTGTCAGCTTAAATTTTTCAAATCTCACTTAATGTCATCTCCTGAAGCTTTCTTTGCATCTCTTCTTTGATTTTACTTTGTTATCTTGAAGGAAGAAATTTTAAGCAATATTTTCATTCCCTTTCCTTGGTATTCCAGCAAAAGAAGCTAAATGCTTGTTATTGATTGTTTTAGGTTTTGAGGGATATTTTCTGTAAACTACCTGTCAGTTGCTTCATTTTTTTTTTGCCTTGTATTCTTTTTCATGAAACCTTTCTGCCTATTTCAAGATAAATGCTTTTCTTGCATATGAAGTTCTGGGTCTTTGAACAATTTTTTGTGGTTGTCCATTACCGTCCTTCCTAACTTGTTTGTACTGCATTTGTTTATGCCTTATGAAATCTGGCAGGCTCCTTGGTGGTTTTGCAAGCTTTTGGAGTGAGTAGTGGAGTGATTCAGAATAAGAACATCTGTCCAGTTCCTTGTGAATACAACATAGATTAGTCTCTGCAGATGTCTACAGTTGATTTGGCCTCACTAATGGGATTGAAAATGTGCAGAGAAAAGTTGTTCTTCTATTCTTGTTTTATATTAGCTGTTGCTGTTCTGCTGTTCATTTTTGACAGCACCAACCAAGTGTCCCCATATTTGCCCTATGGTCAAAAATGAGCTGACCGAGGATATGTGAAACTCTAGCGCTGCAGATGGTGGCTCAGTGGTTAGCACTGCTGCCTCACAGCACCAGGGACCCGGGTTCGATTCGAACTTCTGGTGACTGTATGGAGTTTGCGCATTCTCCCCGTGTCTACGTGGGTTTCCTCCGGGTGCTCTGGTTTCTTCCCACAGTCCAAAGATGTGCAGGTTAGGTGGATTGGCCATGCTAAGTTGCCCGTAGTGTTCAGGGATGTGTAGATTAGGTGGTTTATAGGGGGACAAGTCTGGGTGGGATGCTGTGAGGGTCGGTGTGGACTTGGTGGGCCAAAGGGCTTGTTTCCAAACTATATGAAACATTGTATGATCTAGTTCTGTTATGTAGTAGGCTGTTTCTGATTTGATTTCAGTTCACAAACAAACAAGTTGAGATGTTGCTGTTGATTATGCTCATGTCAGCTGGGTAATTCTGCTCCTCATTATGCCATCCAAAGTCTACAGTAAAACTTTCCCAAGGCTGTTACTAGTTCAACTTTGTCAACTTTTGATCTGTTTAAAAAATTTCTCTCGGAGTTGTACTTTGGAAAGACAAGATACTGAGGGGATACTGGTGCGAGGAATTCTTGGTACAATTTCTGAGTTTATACCTGCTTGGGATCGAAGAAATGATCATGTTTTATGGTCTCTGGTATGGATGCAAGCTTAGTTTTGACTTGGTTCCAGTTTTTACGCTGAAGAAAGTCTTCTAAAGGCAGTACCTTTTGCTTTATGGCGTGTCCTTTGCTGCATTGCCACCAGGATTCCACTAAAGATACAGCTTTTATATTGGCCACTTGATGTTACCATTTTCAAGTCTTTCCTCCTTTTTCGATGTAGTTTGTTTGGATGATCCATAGAGATGTATTTCACCAGTGTGTGCTACTGGTAATATGGGTAGGGGGCAATTTGTGATGAAATGAGTGTGTCAATAAAAATGTCCCAGTGCAATGTTAAAGCATGTTTACTTATGCACTTGTACCTCTCATCAGCTTTCTTTAAGCTCCGGGTGGTAATTTGCCTCAACGTAGAGGTACTCTAGGATACTTCAGTAAGATACTCATGGGGAGGTGATGGCCAACTGGTATTATTGTTGTATTAATCCAGAGGTCCAGGTAATGTCCTGGGGACCTGGGTTTGAATCATACCATCATGGAATTGAAATTAACAAAATACTGAACTGGAGTCTAATAATGACCATGAAACCATTGTCGCTTGTGAGAAAATCCCTTCTGGTTCAGTAATGCCCTTAGTGTGACCTACATATGTCTCGGGACACAATGTGTTTGGCTCTTAATTACCCAGAGGGCTGTTGGGGATGGGCCATAAGTGCTGGTCAGAAAGCATGCCCACATCCTAGAATACATTCCATCTAGCCCTATTTTTCATTGTAGGGATCTCTGTAATTAGGAGGGTTGATAGCATCCTTTGTAAGAGGATTGAGAGTCCCACATGGTTGTTGCCTGCCTGGTGCAGGGTGAGGGCCATCTCTGTCTTGAAAGGATATTGGAATGGGAGGGTGAAGATCCAGTTGTTGTGGCCCAAGTTGGCCAAAGAGGGGTCCCATTTGATGGGGTGTTGGCATCAGTTTTGGAACAGGAAGGATCTGTACCGTTGGGATGGTCCCCGCCTGAACTGATCTGGAACTAGTTTTCGAGTGAAAAGAATAAATAGGGTGGTCACTGGGACTTTAAACTAGTGAATTGGGGGGAAGGGAAGAGGAAAATGACATGAAGTATAGTGGTAAATAGAAAAGAAAGTACCAGGTTAACGTGTGCAGGAGGGTTTAACTATATCAAAGTCGATGACCAAAGTTAAAAGGAAGTAAAACTCGGGAGATGTTGTTAATGGAGATGTTAGAATTCAAAAATAAGGTATAAAAACTAGCATAAAGGCTCTTTACCCGAATGCTCATAGCATCTGAAACAAGGTAGATGAGTTAGCGGTACAAATGATCATGTGTGATTTAGTAGCCATTATGGAGACATGGTTGCAGGATGGTCATGACTGGGAATTAAATATCCAAGGGTATCAGACTACTCTGAAGGTCAGACAGGAGGTAAGGGGAGGGTGGTGTATCTCTGATATTTAAGGATGACATCGGGCAGTAGTGAGAGATGGTATAGGTTCTGTGGAGAATAAGATTGAATCTGTTTGGGTGGAAACTAAAAATTCAAAGTAAAGTCACTGATAGGTGTAGTCTCTAGGCTGCCAACTAATAACATCACATTGGTCTGAGCAATAAACAAAAATAACTAATGCCCATAAAAATGTTATGGCAGTTATCATGGGGGATTTTAATCTACATCGATTGGTTGAACCAGGACAGTCAAGGCAGCCTTGAAGAGCTCATTGAATGTATCCACAATAGTTTTCTTGAACAGTTTGTAATGGAACCGACAAGGGAGCAAGCTATCTCAGATCTGGTCCTGTGTAATGAGACAGGAGTAATTAATGATCTCATAGCTAGGGATCCTCTTGGAAGGAGCGAACACAGTACGGTTGAATTTAGAATGTGGATGGAAAATGAGAAGATAAAATTCAATACCAGGGTCCTGTGCTAAAACAAAGGAGACTACAAGAAGATGAGGGAGATTCTGAGGAAGGGTCACCAGACCTGAAACGTTAACTCTGTTTTTTCCTTCATGGATGCTGCCAGACCTGCTGAGCTTTTCCAGCAACTTTGTTTTTGTTGAGGATGAGGGAGGAGTTACCTAAAGTAGACTGGAAGCAAAGATTTTATGGTGGCACAGTGGAGGACTTTCAAAGCAATTTTTCAAAGTGCTCAGCAAAAGTATGTACCAGTGAAAAGGAAGGTCTGTAGAAAAAGGGGTATTCAGCCATGGATGCCTAAGGAAATAAGGGAGGCTATCAAATTGAAAGATGAGGTATACGAAGTAGCAAAGACCAGTGGGAAACTAGAAGATTCAGAAAACTTTAAAGGCCAACAGCCACAAAAATAGGTATGAAGAAGAGTAAGAGTACGAGAGTAAATTAGTTCAGAATAGAAAGACATAGCAAAAGTTTCTGCAATTATATAAAATGAAAAAGTCGCTAAGGTAAACATTTTCCTTTTAGTGGA